GGGTTGCAGGAAAGCGCAGCGTAGGCGCACTAGCTGAGAGAATATGAATTCAAATTTGAACGGAAAGCTATAGACAAGTGCTCCTCTTATTCTGGCCGCGTATCGTTATCATATAATGCAAGCGAAACTCGAGACTCACATCCTGCAGGTAGAAATATGCATCTCCCCCCAAAGCTTGCATCTGCACTCAACTGCGGCATAGCCAATGCAGACAAGATGAAGCATACTTCTCAACTCCCTAATGTATATGGATATAGATGTCTTAAGAAACAGCGAAATCTGCGCAGGGCAACCGCTACGCACCTTCTGTGTATCGTCCCATTGCCTGAAACCGCTTATATGAATAAGCCGGTAAGCAGCACGTAAACTATCACATCACACTTGAATTAGTGTTTTAATTTATATCTGTTTCATCAGCAGGCAATCAATCCTGCGTCTTCGTCGTAGTGTTTTCACTGTCATCTAAGCCATTCTCAGCCAGCGAAGCGAACGGGCAGCAATACTCACTCCCTGCACCACAGGCAACGATCTATCCAAAGTAAAGCTGCATGCAAGACTGCACTAATACAAGAATATCGCAATCAGGAATACATGCACAAACCGCATTCTGATTTATTTTCCTCACTCGTAGAAATAACGCCTGGGGGAAACCCCTTTGACTCATTTCTATTGAAACCGGAGCCATACTAAAAATAGCAAACGCACATGCTGATGGCCGCAGCATTCATAATTGTAGGTTCCTGGATCTCAGCCTCCGTTTCTGTGTTTTGCGATCAAGACATTTCGTCTAACCCCCTGTATCAGCCCAAGACCCCCTCTACAAAGTACACGTACTTTCTGTTCAGATCGCATGCGTGGTTCGCGCTGTATGCTACTACATTTTTAACTGCTGCCGGACACCGCGCTGCTCAGGCTGCACGAAGCCGTATCCGCGGAGCCTGCTGGCTGCAGTGGTTTGTACCGTCATAGTCTCCACAGATTACCACAGGCCGGGAGATTGCCGAAAGCAACCACTACATACTGCAGAAGTACCTTTGCTTTCACACGCGCTTCAGCAGTGAGGGCCTTCACGG